TCTCTCTCTCTCTCTCTCTCTCTCTCTCTCTCTCTCTCTCAATCTTTCTCTTTTTCACGCACGTACGCTTCTTTTGTTTTTGTGGATGGTTTGTGATGATTTGTGGATCGAATGAGAGAGCGTTTTTTTTTGTTGAAAAGCACAGCCACACACAGCTATCTATACCTTTTTGGTCTGTGATGATCTGTGGATGGAATGAGAGAGAGAGTTTGGGGTTCTTGGAAAAACGCACACAGGAGAGGAACGAGCTACTTCATTTCCTCCCCACATCCTCTAATGGCCAAACAGTGGCACGGTCATGTTTTTTTTGTGGAGTTGTGTATATCGAACATGGCAACACACACATGGCACACGGGAATGTGGGCAGCTTGCGCTCAAGCACAATCAACATGGCGAGCCTTGTACATGAGAGGCACAGTAAAAGGGGAGTTGCAAGGACAAATGAAAGGGGTACCCCACAGAATGCCAAAGCGAAAACAGTTAAGAAAGGGATTTAAACGCTTCTGTTATAGAGGTAAAACTGCTTCATTTTTGGATTGCCTCAACTCAAGTGTTTTTGCTGTCTGCAATAGGACTAAAGCTGCTTCGATTTTGGATCGATCCATCTGGGTGGAATAGTTGAAGTGAAAATTCAAAACACACACAGTAGAGAAAGAGCTGCTTCATTTTTTCCGCACATCCTCTGATAGCCATAAGTGACAGTGGGTAGGTTCATACCCTTCAAGGGAAGGTCGGTGGGTTATTAACCTTATCGATGCCTACTCTTTTGGATGGGCGCATTGGATGCTAGCATGATTGCATGCATTGTCGAAGTACTCAAAAACCCTGCATGGCCTCGTTGCATGCAAAACAATTCTCCAGCTGGCTTCCTGTTTTGCTTATGAGTGGTGGCGGGATAGCCATAGGCGCCGAGCGCAGGTCATGCCTTTAATAATGGGGCCTGAAATCTGATGGTTGCTAAGCTCTCTTGAGAAATGTTTCTTGAGGAGCTGAAGGAGAAACAGCTGGAATTGGAAGTTAGATGAGAACCAGATGAGACGAAAGGGTCAGCATCAGCTACCGTCTTCCCCTGAGCACAAGACACACCTCGTTACAACTGTGTCAGACGGGAAATATAGCTTGTATGCACGCATGATGAGGGGTTGTTGTGTTTGGGAGAAGACGGTAGACAGGGAAAACGGCTGTGTGACTGACAATGATGAGTAATGTCCCTGAGAGTTTAAGCCTGCTATTGGGGATAGTCTGGTCAGATAGAATCCCCCTCCCCCTTCTTTTTTTTTGCTTTTTTCTAAAGCACCGCTCCCTCCGAGCCTCATTTTGCCGAGGCGGAAAAGAGGCACCCACAAAACTTTCCTGAGCGCCAGTGCCAGCGGCCCAGAGCGACTTTTTTTGTTTTGTTTTGGCTGGTGCTGCCAGCCATTTTGGCCCCATGGCGCCCGGCCTCCGAAGAATGAAGAATCCCTTATGGTAGACTGCCATGGTAGTAACACATGCACTTCTTCAGGCTCGTATGATTGCTCGTGTTAAGTTGCATTTCTGTTTTTTTGTTTTTTTGTTTTTGTTTCGCCCGTTCTGTTTGAATTATTCCATGTCTACGACGTGCAGATGAATGGGTCCTTAAAGGTGAGGTGTGGATAGTATTAGGAACTTTTTGGAACTGTTTGGAACTGTTTGGAACGGTACGTAAATTTCCTCTGGGGACGAAATGAAACTGTATGGATTACTCTGATATGGGAGAAAAACTTAAATCTGACTAAGTGGGTATATTTTTTTTGTAGTCAGGGTTGTCAGACCGCCTACGGCAGACGCCTGCTGTAGGCCGCTGGCTCACCTACCAGTTGGCTGACCCGTAGGCGGACTGGTCGGCAGTCTGTAGAGGGTCATCCACTGTTTGTTTTTTCAAATCTGAGTTCAGGGCTGTAATCCACTTGCTGAGTACGGCCTGAATCCGCTGAGAAACTTTTGGGAATCGGGGGGGGATACGGGGGTTTATGGTGGAGGTATAGAGGGGTATAGGGGGGGTATAGGGGGGGTATAGCGGGGTTATAGGGGGGTTATAGGGGGGTTGTAGGGGAACCGTTGAAGGAGTCTGAAGACTCTGAAACAGTATTCTGAAATTATTTGCTAATGGGATGCACTTGGCAGATAGCCGCGTTGAAGAAAGAGCTAGAGTCTGTGAGGGAGCACCGACAGCAGTATCGTGATCGGCGGGCCGCTGTCTCTATCCCAGTTATCTCACTGGTAAGACTGCTTGCTTTCTATGCTTTACCCATATGCCTTTAGTGTTCTGTTTCGAATGCTTCACAATCAGACTCTTTGGTTCAGACAGTAAAAAAACGAGATTATGAGAAAAGAGTCAAAAGACTCAAAAGAGGGAAAAAACTTCAAAAAAGGTTTGAGAAAGTGTCACTATATGCCAAGGTATAGCTTTCAGCAGTCAAGGTTGTGAATTTCTTGTTCCCTTGATTTGCTGCTTCATTGTGCTTCATGTGCTCCTTGTAGTTTGCTCCCTCCTCCTACTCTGCAGCAAAAATGCCAGCAAGCTAGGAAGTTTTTCATGCCCGGCCGGGCCTGCACGGCCTGGCACCCGGGCGTGCAAAAAATAAAAATAAAAATAAAAATAAATCTTTTTTTTTGGCCTTTCTGCGTTTTCCCAGAGGAACCCAAATCCGGGCTCGTTTCATTTTTTGAGAGCTGGCAGTCAAGGGCGGAAAGGGGGGTATAAATTATTTTTGAAGGGGCTAAGAGGGGTTTGTAATGAACCCAGTCCGGCGGATACTCATCAGTCGTCAAAGCCAGTAGTCTCGGTATCTGCCACAAGTGTCCAATTATCGTGAAGTGAAATCTGAAACAGTATCTCATTACCATTAGACAAAGAGAGTGGAGAGGGATTAGACAGAGGAGAAGGTGGAAGAGATGATNACAAAGAGAGTGGAGAGGGATTAGACAGAGGAGAAGGTGGAAGAGATGATCAAAGATCACACAAGAGTAATCCCATCAAAACCCCACTCCTTCTCCGGGCTTCTTCCCTCTCCACGTCAACAACCAATATATGATAACAAGTATAATAATTCTGATCACACAAAAGTGCCACGTGACACTCTTTATCTCATGAAGACCATGAAGACCCAGCAGATTACAGTGACGACGTCAACCTCAGGTGAGTACCCGATCCCAATCATCCACAGATCCCGATCTCCCTCCTCCTCGCAACCAGTCACCTCATGTAGATAGCGTGGACAATGCCACGTCAGCAGTCGAGACAGGTGGCATGTGCCACATCATCAATGAAGGCCAGTGGCACACACCACATCAGCATGCCATGTAGACCAGAGGCAGCGCCACATCAGCATGCAATATAAACCAGAGGCAGCGCCACATCGTCACGCAATGTAGACCAGAGGCAGCACCACATCAGCATGCAATGTAGACCAGAGGCAGCGCCACATCATCATGCAATGTAGACCAGAGGCAGTGCCACATCATCATGCAATATAGACCAGAGGCAGCGCCACACTGATATGCCTGGCGCACAATGAGGAACGCAGCAGCATACCGTCGTCTTCGTCTGCAGTGCCTGCGTCCAGCCAGCGCCTCGCCGGCGTCATGACAGCGTCTAGTCGAAGTCGAGCCAGAGCACAAGCAGCAATCCTCAGTCGTCCAGATTGCCTCACAGCCGAGGGCCCGGATTGTGTATAGTTGCAGACTTTCCCTTGGACCTGATATTGTCTGGGTACCTGCATACAAACAAGTGTGTGTGCTTGACCGGTGGCCTGGGCTGGGTACCTTTGGACTTTGACTGTTGGTATCATGACATTTACCAAAAGTCAATTGTCTCACGTCCAGGCCCTGAATTTCCATGTGGGGTCTTTTTCCCCTGTTTTGGCTTGGGCTGAGGGCGGCCAAGTAGGCCCTCAGACATTCTATGAGACATATGGCATGGGTTATTGCATTCCTGCCGACCCAATTTTCGAGTTCCATCGCAGAAAAATACATCAATTCTCAGTTAAGCCACGTTCATATGCAGCAACAATATCTGGAGCAGTAGGTAGGAGTTCTTTCCTACTAAACCATCTGGCTTCAGATGGAGGTTGAGACTTGAACATTACCTTATACTTCTTCTGAGGTCTTCCTCTGCCACCTGTAGAAAAATAGCCATGTTCCAATATCTTGTCAACTTCATAACCTCCATTCATAGAGGGTGGAATCATAGATGGTCTATTTGGAAAGTTATAACCTTCTACAGAGGGCAGCAGTTTAGACGCGTGGAGGACGGGGTATGTCCTTAGGTGTGGAGGTACAGCGATGTGGTAGGAAGGTCCGTCTGCATCTCTAATCACCTTGAGAACTTCCCAAGGGCCATAGTAGACAGGTAGCAGTTTCGGAGACACATTTTCTTCTAAGGAAAACTCTTTAGACTTAACCAGACAAGATCTCCTTCTTGAAATTGTGAAGGACGACGATGTTTATTAGCTTGTTCAATCATTTGCAGTTGGGCTTTCTGTATGTTTTCCTTTACCTTCTTAAGCCACCAGTACCCCGCTGGCAAAAAAAAAGCCTTCCTGAATTCATGGAAGACCTTGGCAGGCCCGGTAGAGCCTCGACACAGGTGCGTTTCGAAAACGAACACGGACAACCATAGAGCACAACAACAAAGAAAAAAGAAAGAAAAAGAGAAAGAAAAAAAAAAAACTTTAGCCGTTTTTCTTTCTTTTCTTTCTGTGGGCATATTCCACGGTGCTCACTGACAGCATGCTCACATTAGTACTTTCCCGTTGGTTTGTTTCTTGCCTCCAACGTAATACTTCCGACCAGATGTCGGGGAAGGCCTAGCCGAGGGCTCACAAGTGTTGTCCAGAATGTACCTGAGCATTATCATAACCAAATCCTTTTTTTTTTTTTTTTTTTTCTTCTGGGCTCTGCCAGCAGCACAGTGGTAATCCACGCTCATCCACACTAGTACTTCCCAAATGTATCTGACCACGATCACGACCTAATCTTTGCTTCTTTTTTTTTTTCTTGGTTTGTTTCTTTCCTCTAACGTAATACTTCCTGTAGGGGAAGACCTGGCTGAGGGCATGCTCATACTAGTGCTGTACAAAATGTAGCTGAGCACTATCACAACCAAATCCCTTTTTTTCTTTTTTCTTTTGGGTTCTTCCAGCAAGGCAGAGCGTAATCCGTTCGTTCTCAGGGATGACCCTCACTGAGGGCATACTCACCCGATTGCTTCCACGAATGTGTCTAACCGCGATCACAACCAAATCTTTGTCGTTAATGTTTTTTTTTTTTTTTCCTTTTGTGTCCTTCCTCCTTTTACGCGTTCTCGGGGTTGACTTCACTTAGGGCAGCAAAAAGAGGGATAAAAAAATAGGGGGAAAAAAAAACGAAACAAAAAGAAAAGCAAAGATGAAGGGAAGAAAAAATAAAATAAAAAACCTCTCATTAGAAGTACCGGTCCCTCAACATTCTAAGGACTGGTAGCCCGTTGTAGGACTGCTTTTCTTTGGCTTCCTCCTACCGCAACAAAGCGGTTCGGTAGCTCGGAAAAAAAAAAAGGTTTGGAGAAGTGCTTCGTAAGGTAGTGGTGGTTTAATGTCTTCTTCATACAAAACTGTGAATTCAGGCGTACTTGGGGGTAGCCTCTGAATCTGGTCCCTTGTTAATGCATCAATGTGATGCCTAGGCTTCCATCCTTTGTGCAATGCATTAGGCGTTCTACTTGTAACAGTATGTATGTTGTTATTATAGGCACTAGCAATTTGAGGCAGTTCTCATCCCAATCTATGTGATCAGGTCGGACATACATTTGCAGAAGTTGTTGACAAAGACGATTCATTTGCTTAGTTTGGCCACTCGTTTCAGAATGTCTGCCTGACGACATGGTCAATCTGATCCCATAGACTTCCATCAACTTCTGCCATTGTAGACTAGTGAACCGAACATCCTTATCAGAGACGATGGTTTTCGGAAATCCATACTTAGAGACCCATCGCATCTGAAACTTCTGGATAACTATCTCGGTTCTAGCTTCAACAGGCAAATACTTAGAGAATCTATCTACGATGACCATTACCTGATTGTTGTCATTTCTACTCTTAGTGAGGCTCATAAAGTCAATGGAAATAGACTCAGCTGGTTCACTTGGAATAGGCAGCAGTCTCAGCAGTCCCATCAAATTCTCATGTGAGGGTTTGTTCCTCTGATAAACAAGACAAGTCCGAACATAGGTTAGTATATCTTCCTTCCTTCCTTTCCATTCAAAATGTTCACGCACATCGGCATACGTCTTCTGAAAACCAAAGGGACCTTCCACATCATGACATTCCCCAATGATTAAGCTCTTGATTGGTTTTTGATGAGGAATACACAATCTTTCTTCGGTTTTATCCAGAAAGAAGAGTAAGTCATTAGTCATTCGATATTTTGAAAATAACTCAGGGTTCTTTCGTAGAGTCTCAACGATAGGACTCCAAATAGGATGACTCCCATAACCCTTGCGGATCTGTTCTTCCAGCTCGTTTGACGATGGTTCCAAAGAAATCTGCACGCCTGGACAAAGCGTCCGCAACCACGGTAGACTTACCTTTGATGGTTTTCACCTCAAAGTCAAACGTATCAAGGAAAGCGGACCATCTTACCAACTTGTCAGAGAGTTTAGGCTGAGTCTTGATCCACTTCAAGGTAGAGTGATTAGAGTAGACAATGAAATGCCTTCCTAACAAGTAATGCTTCCAGGTATCTAGTGCATCAACTAAGGCATACAATTCCCTTTCATAGGTGGAGTTTACCACTTTCTTTAACGGAAGTCTTCTGGACATAAACTCAATAGGTTTATATCCCTTACCATCGTCTTGTTGTAGCACAACCCCAATTCCATACTGATTTGCGTCAGTCGTGATGATGAAAGGAAGTGAAGGGTCAACAATCTTTATGACAGGGTAGTGAGTCAGAATATGATTTAATTTTCTAAACAATTACTCACAATCTTTGTCCCACAACCAAGGTTTTTCCTTTTTCAGTAATCTTCTCATATGAGCAACTATTAAGGAAAAGTTTCTGACGAACTTCCTATAGTAGCTAGCAAGCCCTAAGAAAAATCTTTATTCAGTAATAGTCCTAGGTTGTGGCCAATCTCTGATTGTTGTAATCTTATTTCTTTTAGGCCTTAGTTTTTCCTCGTTCACTATATGCCATAAATACAAGACTTCAGGCTTAACAAACTCAGACTTCTTCGGATT